GGTCGTTCAAGTCTACACTCTCGGCAGATCTTTCTAACTCCAGTCTGACTTCTGGTTTGAGTCCTTTACGATAGTGACTCATAATGGCGGTTTCGTCCCACTTGGTTGTTCCAGCATATCTTCGAAATTCCGTAGCATACTTCAATGCTGATCCTGTCTGCTTGAGGTTGAAGATCTTATCTTCCGCTACCTCTAGCTCATTGGAGTTCCCGAAGATTCTACGAATCTCTGTCTTAAATCCTTCAAAACTGTTGAAGATTGTTCGAGTGGGTTGCATGCGATCCTGGTCGTCATGCTCGAAATAGTCTCGTAAATATGGTTGAATCCGCTTGCTTGCTTCTCCTCTGAGATATGATACAGCCCATACACTCTTGGATTCCTTTTCGGTGAACTTGTCTTCGTTGAATCTGAAGTAGATTTCAAGTTGTAAGAGGAAGGTGTCGAGTTCCTGTCGAATTCCTTGGTATTTGTCTGGTAAGGCAATCTTGAGTGTTTCGTTGATGGTAATCTCCTTGGGAGCGTCGGTCATCTCGATATCGTTGATGTCGGGTGCTTGTGCCTGACTGCTCGCGGATGTATTGGTGGGTGCCATATCGTCGGTTGGTATTGAATTGGTACTTGAAGCAGAAATGGTGCTCAAAGTGTTACGGGAGCTGCCTCTAGGGTCACGTGGAAGTGTCTAGAGATCTCTCGAGGTGGTTTAGACTAGACTTCAAGTAGGAATTCAATAAGGTTGGTAACTGGTTGCAATTCTCGTAACTATAGTAATGAAACTAATGATTGTTCTTGAGCACGAAGCTCTATATTGTAATGAAATCCCATTCCCTTATATAGACCTTCGTTCTCTGTTGTCCCACTGCTTCCCACTGTGTCCCACTGGGCCTTACTCAGTGGGACTCAGTGGGACACCTTGGTCAGGTGATATTTTAATCAATCTAGTCATGTGACGACCTCGGTCGTAACAGTCGGGTACCCTACTTTCAGGCCACCTCCCTTTTGGGCCACTTTTTATACCAAAAATACAATTTTTAATTTTCTTATTCATGGATAGAATTCACTAAAATTTATATATATATAATTTAAATCATTTTTAGTTTACCTTAAAAATTTCAGATTTTTAGGAATTTTCTATATTAAGATCTAAAACTTTAAAATATCGATTCTTAAATTTGTATAAGAATCATATACAAATTTGAAATTTTTATAAAATCTTTAATAATTTTTTAATAAAAATTATTAAAAATAAATTATAAAATAAATTATAAAATTTTATTATAAATTTATAATATCTTTATTCTAAAGGATTCAGAAAAAAAAGAAAATTTCTTATAAATAAATACTTAAAAGAATACCCTCAAAATTATAGGGATTATTTATACTATTCTAAACTTATTATATATTATATCTCTATATCTATTAATTTTTTTTAATTTTTTTTTTAATTTCTATATAAATTTAAATTCAAAACTTTCAAAAAGATATATAGTTTTCTTTTGATAATTATTATTAAAAAGTTATTAAAGATTTTATAAAAGTTTCAAATTTATATATAATTCCTATACAAATTTAAAAATCAATATTTTAAAGCTTTAGATTTTAATACAGAAAATTCCTAAAATTTTCAATTTTTCAAAATAAGTTTAAAATAGCTTAAATTATATATATTCAAATTTTTATTATATTAGATTATATATTGATAGAGATATTAATAAATTAAAAAAGCGATTTTTGGTATAAAAGAGTGGTTCAAAATAGAGGTAGCCCGAAAGTAGGGTGGTTGACTTATCCTTCATCCAGTCGCTTTAAGTGTTCGTGCAATGATATGATTCAAGCAATTGCTTCCAAAAAATTTACTCCAGCATCTCAGGTAAGAATTATTACCTATCATTTACTTTACTCTCACCACATTCTTAAGACAATGATTATACACACACAACACGATAGTCCTTTATACTCATCATACTCCCCAACAATCTCGATCAATATTCGAGAAACTATGAGGATCCATCAGCACGATATCTCTTCCTGCTCACTTCACACAACTCCACTTCTTCACCTCTCACTTCCTCACCCTCATTTCCTCGCCATCTATCTACGGTCCCCTACTACCCTCCCTCTCCCTCACATAATCTGAAAGCCCTCTAACCATTACATATCAACAAGACCCTCAACTTCGCGTCTATCCACCGAGAGCGCCTGACAACGCATAAGTCATATCCGTTTCCACTCGCTGCCATGGTACATCGCATTCATTTGTGCTCATACGATTCCTTCCTTCGCCCATACAATTTCACCACCCCTCACTTTATCGTCTCCTTCTTCCCCTCTTCCCCTCTCTTCCTCTTCCCCTCCCCCTTTCACCTCCGAAACTCACCTCCAAACCCCAAGTAAATACACGTCAAATCCACTCCCCATCCATCCATCCAAGTCTTCCAGAGCTCTTGATTTCAACATGTCTAGGTTTCCAGACATCCATCCATAGTCCATTACAAATCCACAATTCTTGAAGCAACCCAACAGCCCATATGACTTAGGAAGATTGACCAACGACCATAGAACTTCCTGGCATGATGGTCAGTACATCCTCAGAACAGTATACAATAATCTACATGTACACACATTTAGCAATATCAACCATCTCTCAAGATATTGCAGATGTCCAAACACGTTCAAATGATCATAGCAGACATATAAAATCATATCTTCTTGAATATTCGAATAGTAAAACTTCACAAACTTATATCTAGTTACATCACAACATGCAACATCTCCCTCATGTCTCTGGCACAGTTTTCAAACATTTACAATTGGATTTAATTCGATTCAAATTATCCCATTATCCTTACTAACCTTTGTGACCGCAAACCCTGGTATATTCGACAATCTTGAATTTTGCGTCTTTCGTTCTCTGATGTGAAAAAAGCTCCTCCCCGTTTCTCTATATCAGTACATATCCTACATTCCCAACTTCGCAATCACCAATCCTGGAAGAGACATTTGTTTCCAATCCTTGGACTTCCTTCCATTCTTACCATCTCAAGCACCTGCACTATCCTGTCTCAACATTTCCGCAACATCTGCATCCAAACCCTCCATAGCATCCCCTCCCATCTCCGGAAAATCATCATTCAATTTCCTCTTCTTAACGCTACTCATCGAGTTGCTGCGTCCATAACTAGTAGAAACACTACTTAGCAAATCCAAACCGGAAGTTGGTGACATGGACATAGATTGGGATGTGTAAATCGAACCATTAGTAGCAGCCGCAGAGGTATTAAGGTCAAAGTCTGGAAGTGACTCTTGTTGAATGGTTTCTTCCTTCATGGGGCGCAATGGAGGTGATAGAGGTTCGACTTCCGGACGATCAGGTTCAGATTTAGGAGTACCCATTTTGTTTCCTGGACTGCCATCTGCGGGTGTGCTCTCGCTGCTGTTTGCGAAGCTGTGCATAATAGTATCTTCCACGTCCCTCTTTTTAATGTCGATTTCGTTACGTCGCGAGGAGAGCAGATTGAGCTGAGCCTCTTCTTCTGCTAGGGCATTACGGTTTGTCTCTAGCAATTTCTCCAGTCCTTCGATCAGCAAGTTACGCGATTTAATAACTTCAGCCACAGCTCCTTCGGCGTTTGCCAAAGTCTTGAGGAGCCCATTAAGTCGAGCAGCATAGACTGGCGCAGACGGAGTTGGCGTGTTGGGATCTGTGAGCTTTTCGTAATCATTGTTCGCAGAATTCGTAGAAGTCTTTGTAGAAAGTACCAATTTGGATATTGTTTGCTGGGGTCCTACAAGAGGTTGAAGTTCGCTTGGCGCCGACGATGAATTGTTGGAGAAAAGGGATCCGCCCAATCCTCTCCTGTTTGAAGATCTTGATTTCTCTAGTTCTGCGATTATCAGTATAGGCTATTTCATATTCGCAGAGGGACCTACCCTCGATTCGAGCCTCGACCGCCTCTTGTATAGGGATTTCGAAAATCTGTCTTTGTCTCCACACTTCCACGACTCTCTTCAGCTTATTTTGGACATCGCTTGTAGCTCCCTTATAAGCGGTAGCAGTAGCCTCCGCAATTACGGGAGAAAATGCAATGAGGAAATCATCCTTGCGCCGGGCTTTGGATTGTTGTGCGACTTCTGTGAAAGATACAACCATTAGACAAGACCTGGGCAAATTGACCATACATTTGCACAATTTGGGAAGTAAGGATATATTGAAGTTGAAATGGAGATATCTTACCGTTTGCGAGGTATACCAAATTCAATCTCTTGTTACTTCCAGAATCCTTCAATTTTTGAAGCCAAAGTTGTCCAGTACGGTCGGCATATCTCCTAGACAAAGGATAAGCACATTGAAAAGACGACGAGGTCAATAATATTTGCATACCTATGAAACATAATCCATTGCGCAACGGTGACCTGAAAATCAGATTAGTCGGCCATTCATTACCTGGGATCCAAGAACGGCACTTACAATACTCTCCTGCGTCTCGTTCAAAGCAGAAAGTTTTGCCAGAACGGCGTCATCGTTATAGGCCATGTTTCCTACTTGGGACTTGATGGAAAGGAATGGCGAGTATTCAATGGAGTTTTTGTTTGTATTCAAGTGTTTGCTTGTCGGCGTTTGCTTGCTCAATTGAATTTACAAGGTAAAAGAACGGCTTTGTTATACACCAGCAATCCAGATATCACTTATTAAATGGCGAAAATCAGTAGATGAAAAGATGAAAATTTCCAGAGATAATCTCTAGATATTGATGATCTTTTATGCCTACTCGATTTGATGCGAAAAGGGAAAACTCAGTTGAATTGTGAGTTCTTATGTTGTTTGCATCTAGAGTTCCTTCTCAAGCTCTCCAAATAATCCTTAGTGTCGGTAACTTCCGTACTAGCACCCCATGGCTTTAGGCGCATGTGTATCAGGCATTTGGTATCATCGCATTATTAGGAACAGACAGCTTGCGATTTCGAATCAAGAGTTACACATAACCAATACCTTAGATTTCAATATGGCTGATAGATTCCCTTCTCTTGAGGACTTTGACTCTGGTGGTAAGTTCACTTTTAGAAATTAAATGGAAAGTAACATGTATGCTTTATTAACAACACGATTTACAGCGCAAACAACTCAAGGCGACTCTACTTTCGAAGGAGGTGCCGATGATTTCCTAAGTCGTGAGAAGGCCCTTTTGGGTGACGATGCGGATCAATTTGCTACTGGCAATGACAATTCCGCATTTGTAGAGGATGATGATGATGATTTATTGGGTGGAGGTGGAGGAGAGGATGTTCACGAATTCGAGAGTTCTTTCCCTGCCATTGATACTCGCAACGAGGTATATCATTTTCCCATTACAATTTTCATTTTGAAGAGAAGCGAATGCTCACAAAGTTAGAATGTTTCACCAAGCGGACAAATCACCAGCACATACACCAATTACCAGCCCCAAGTTTCCGATGAGGAAGAGCCAGAAGTCATCAAGCAATGGCGCGAACGTCGAGATCTCCAACTTCAAGCCCGCGAGGAGAGATCCGAAGAAAAGAAACAAGAAATTATCAAGACTGCCCAACAAAATATTGATGATTTCTACGAGAATTACAACACCAAGAAAGAGAAGACAATTGCACAGACTCGTCGTGAAGCTGAGGAGTTCTTGGCAAGCAGAGAAGATACATCTGCCGGTGGAACTAGCTGGGAGCGTATCGCAAAATTGGTTGATTTGAGTGGAAAGGGTGCTAGAGGTGGTGCGAATGGTACTGGAAAGGATAAGTTCAGAGAACTGTTGATGAGCTTGAAGAAGGACGAGAAACCGCCTGGTGCTACTGGATATTAGAGGGGGTTGGTTGGGTGGATTGGGTGATCTCTCTATGGACTTGTAAGATCGTACAAGATGGTTGTTTATTTCATTCAAGAATTGCCTAATCGGATCTTCTGGGCAAAGGGGCGTTAAAAATGAATGGCACAGACACGCATACCTATTAAAGATTTGTTTATAATACCTAACATTGCTCCTAAATGCTGGACTTTGAATTGTGATTACTATTTACTCATTGAGAAAGTTATAATACCATTGCTGGTTTCAAGCTTTTCTTTAAATTGCACTGCATGTTTCCTTTTCATATCATTTCGTTAATTCCTTCACCATCTTCCCCTTTCCTTGATCCTGACAATCATTCCGGATCACCGTAATTCTCATCCAGCGCTCTTTGCCTCTCCTGTTCCTCAAATTCCTTCAATGCAGCCTGTCCTTCCTCGGTTGTGGCATCAATAATTTGTTCTTCAAGTTGCAGCATACCGCCCTGGATATGTGTTAGCAGGCCATATGAACACAGATACTAGGATATGAACTTACCTCGCTGAGCTGGCCGACAACTTCTTCTGCTTGTTCGACACTCATTTTGCCCAATACCTTATTGACTTCATCCAAGCTACCGCTTTCCAGAGCTCGTTGCAGTCCAGGTGGGAATGCATCAAATAATTCTCTCGATTTAACTACCTCTGGATCCTCACTTGTCGCAGGTGGAACAGTAATGTTGATAGTGGTACCGGGATCAACAGCATGAAGTTGGATTTGTTCAACTCCACCTTCGGTTCCCTCTTCAGCTGCTCTCTGCTTCTGGATCTCCCTAGCTCTAGTACGGACTCTATCAAATGTTGAGTTGACATCATCAAAGAAGACCTTTTGGGCTTGGTGGCCCTTGGTAGTGATACGCTTAAAGAACAAGCCAACCCCATCCTTTCCTAGGGCTCTGCAGTATTGAAGCAATAGAGCTTGATGGACACATTGCCTAGCATAGTCATCCTTGTTTGCGATTGCAGAGTTAAATGCCAAAACAAGTAAACCATCCGTCTCTCTTTCTGCTAGTACTGACGGATTCGAGGAGATGTACTGAAGACATGTACGATAGTCACCCATCTTGATTTCTGCAAATTTCTTTCCGAGCTCGCTAGCTTCTACGTCATCATCTTCTTCCTCTTCATCTTCATCAACATCTGCATCGGCGCCCGAGGATTGTTCGCCAGGCTTCGAGCCATCCTTATTGGCGAGGGCATGAGGATTCAGGACTTCTACAGCTTGGACCTTCTCTTTAGGCTTCTTCGATTCTGTGGCCGCTGGTTTTGGGTCTGCCTTTGCTACAAAGGAGCTGTCAAATCCAGTATGTATGCTCTCACTAGTGATCTTCTTGCCCTCCTCTTTCTCTAAAGTCTCCAGTTCGACCGCAAGTTGCTTTTGAAGGTCCTCAACCTTCTCTTGATGTACTTTGATTTCGGCGAGATACGCCTCGAATCGATTTTCTGGTTTGTCCTCGTCGACCTTCGTTTTAACTTGGTCAATAAGCGCCGCCATCATTTTAGAGTATGTGGGTGGTGCCTCCTTGACATGAGTATGAACCCCTTCTGGAGGTGGAGGTGGAGAGTCATCTTCGCCAGTTGATTCCATCAATGCTTGAAATGCAAGATCATCCGGACGTTTATCAGTCTGAGGACTGTAAGATTTTAAAGCAACAAGAAGAGCATTTATCCTCTTGAGAAGTCCATCGTTGACGATTCGCTCATACTTGTAGGTATCTATTTTATTCTTTCGCTCATATCTCTGCTGATGTATTTGATTTTGTTTTGCTCGGATGAAAGAGCGCTTATCAACATTGGGGTGAACTTCAACATCTGAGTCGTCGCTCAACTCGAGTGCATCCTGACATTTTGTCAGCCTTGAACCTTCAGCCTTTCGAAGTGGGGGATGGACGACGATGAGGGGTATGTGTTCCGATATTGTATATGGGATGACCTTACCCATTTGCTATAGTTTATCGGCATGTTGGCGATGATTCAGGGAGTATTTGTGATTGTACTCTTCCAGTATTCTTGAAAGATTCTTGAAGTTGTGTTGTTGAATATTTTTCGAAGCTGTTTTCAGAATTCCTTTCTATCTTTATCACTCTTTGAATCGAATGTTCTACAACAATTCTCCTTTGCGCCCAAACATTCCAGCCGAGCAAGCTCAAGCCAACAGCGTCAAAATCTAGCCCCACGTTTGGCTTTCGTAAGCCGTCAATCAAGATGGTGATTGGTCAATAAATAATATGATGGGAAGGAAGCGATGACGGAAGCTAAATCTAGCAATAAATCTAAAATATGCTCCTAAGAAATAATGTTACCCGTTTAGAAGAGAAACCTTCAACCTCCAATTCTTTTCAACGCGTTTGAATCATTCATAATCTTTATACTCCCACGCAATAATGACAGCTCGGCGATTATATCTTTCACAGCTTCATCGGTGAATACAGCGGATGTAGTACACAATCCGAGCATCATAATTTAACAATGCGGCGCACCTTGACATCAGGCAATGGTTGGGGAGGGGCCTCGATCTGCGATATAGCTTTCAAGCAAGTTTCGAAACCCATTCCAGCTCCCGCAGCTTCAAGATGGACTCCCTCTGGACCTTCTCTGGTTGCAAAAAGATTTTCATCCGGCTTCAAAATTTCGCCATCGCCATTGAGCCCCGCGTCTAAGCCAACCCCACAACTATCTACAAGCCGTCTTCTCCAACAAACAAGAATTGGTTCATCATCTCCATGGCGACCGGCAATATCTCAATTACGACCCTTCAACAGTGCATCGCCTTTGCAAGATTCGCCGAAGGGCTCAGATAGACAGGATCATATCACACGAGAACGGCAAAGGCGCGAGGAAGAGGAGGAAGATAATATTGATGAGCAAGGAGATTTTGCACGAAGTGAGAAAGCTTCTAAAGCAACACAAGTCAATTTGAGCGCAAGGTTACAAAGTAGTGGGAAGAAACAAGGAAATACAGCTGCTTTTGGTGAAATATGGAGATTACTCAAAATTGCTCGACCAGAGGCGAAATGGCTCGGTCTGGCTTTTGTATTCCTGCTGATATCCTCATCAATCACCATGTCAATACCGTTCTCTATTGGAAAAATTCTCGACTTGGCTACGAAAGATCCCTCGGAAGGCGAAAAACTTTTTGGACTAGATATTTCTCAATTCTTCATTGCTCTCGCCTGCGTTCTGACCATGGGCGCTGCCGCTAATTATGGACGTATCATTATATTGAGAATAGTTGGAGAACGAATTGTAGCCAGACTTCGATCACAATTATACAGGAGAACTTATGTACAGAATGCGGAATTCTTTGATGCCAATCGAGTTGGAGATCTTATTTCTCGATTGAGCTCAGATACGGTTATTGTTGGAAAGAGTATTACCCAGAATCTCTCGGACGGTTTACGAGCCATTGTTAGTGGAGGTGCTGGATTCACAGCTATGGCATGGGTGAGCTTAAAGCTTACAAGCATCCTGTGTCTCATGTTCCCACCTGTCGCAATCGGTGCATTCTTTTATGGTCGAGCGATCAGAAATCTTAGTCGAAAAATTCAAAGGAATTTGGGAACTCTGACTAAAATCGCCGAAGAGAGACTCGGAAATGTTCGCACAAGTCAAGCTTTCGCTGGTGAGACACAAGAGGTTGGCAGATATAATCAACAAATCAAGAAGATATTCTCATTGGGAAAGCGAGAAGCATTGATCAGTGCAACATTCTTCAGTTCCAGTGGATTCTTTGGTAACATGACTATCTTGGCATTACTATACACTGGTGGCTCTATGGTTAAGAACGGTATGATAAGTATCGGTGAATTAACGTCGTTCTTGATGTATACAGCTTATGCTGGGTCAAGTTTGTTTGGTGTCTCCAGCTTTTATTCGGAACTCATGAAGGGAGTTGGTGCTGCCAGTCGTCTTTTCGAGCTTCAAGATCGAAAGCCTACGATTCCTGCAACTGTTGGTACTAAGGTTAAGTCTGCACAAGGTGTCATCAAATTCAACAACGTCTCTTTCGCCTACCCAACTCGGCCAGCAGTCACTATTTTCGACGGTCTCGACTTTGAAATCCCTTCGGGTACTAATGTGGCAATTGTCGGACCTAGTGGTGGAGGAAAATCTACGATCGGTTCACTTTTATTACGATTTTATAACCCTACAGAGGGAACAATTACAATTAACGGTCAAGATATAACAAAGATGAATGGAAAGTCTCTTCGCCGTCGTATTGGAATGGTTGGTCAAGAGCCTGTTCTTATGTCTGGCTCAGTTGCCGAAAACATTGCCTATGGAAAGCCCCATGCTTCGAGGTCTGAGATTATCGCAGCTGCACGAAAAGCAAATTGTCAATTCATTGGCGACTTCCCTGAAGGTCTCGACACACAGGTTGGAGCACGTGGTGCCCAATTATCCGGAGGACAAAAACAGCGAATCGCAATTGCTAGAGCTTTGCTCAAGAACCCTGATATTCTTATACTAGACGAAGCAACATCGGCTTTAGATGCTGAATCCGAAACCTTGGTTAATTCTGCTCTTGCGGCGTTACTCAGAGGACATAATACAACAATTTCAATTGCCCATCGTCTTTCGACTATTAAGCGCTCCGATCACATTATTGTTTTGGGCAATAATGGAAAGGTTGCTGAAACTGGAACCTACAATACTTTATCAAACAACCCCAACTCGGCCTTTTCGAAATTGATGGAGTGGCAAATGAGTGGAGGTGATGCAGCAGATCACAGACCCGTTGAATTAGAAGGTCACTTCACAGAGTCCGAAGAAATCTCAGACGACTTGTCGCGTATGAGTGACTCTGATGCTATCGAGGGGGAAGCGATCGAGGAAGGAACTAGGGAGCGAAAGGAAAATAAAACCAAGACAGAAGCTGTTTTGGAAAAGACGAATAACAGAGCGAAGTAGATTAAGAGAGAGTTAGCAAACGAAACAGAAGGAAATGTATGGATATTAGCCTTCGGTTTCTTGTTTGTTCTTGGGGCGTTTGTAGAGTACGTGGATATAGCATGGGGCTCTTCACGGGCCCCATTTACCACGCAGCGGAGAGATAGGAGGGTTAATTACTAGCGAGAGTCTGATACCGGCTTATTATAGGTATATCCCGAAAGGGAGAAACACAATTGTATTATACTCCACTCATATGATAATGTATTGAGTTGTACACTTTCCTTGAACAGTCTATGACTTTCATCTTTTTGCTATGCTAGCGCCAAAGACACATGTTGGGCTTTGTGAACCTACCTATTGCAATGAATAGGGTTGATATAGACTTTCGAAATAACGAATTTGAAGTGTGATAGATTCGAATGTTTGGGGGAACCTCAAACAATTGGTAGCAAAGTAATCCGATTGTCCTCTATTGATTGTTACGATCACCAATATTTGAGACGAAAAAGTTTCACTCTTTATTGACATTTGCTACAGCATGGAGTTGGTCCACAATCGAACAATATACTAGGCACTTAGCAGAGCAATATCCTCAATATGCTCATTACGCTACGGGTCTCCTGTTTTCAACTTCTCTTTGTCTTTTGTTATGTGCTATCGCACTTCTGGGTTTTGCACCCAAGGCTCTTCGGGACCTGATTCCATTGTTTTTAATAATCTTCAATTTTCAGTCTTTAGTTGTTGTTCAACGTGCACTTCCAGGCAAGAGCCAAGTTGGTATTCATTGTCCTTATGCTCGCTCTTGGGATATTAGCTCTATGTCATACCGGTACATGGAAATTGACTACCAAGCTTGGGCTTTCGGAAAAGTATCTCTGTATGCCTCGGTTCTCGTCGAGTTGGCAATGAGAATCTCAGTGCGGATAGTGGGGTTTCAAAATTGTACTGTATGTTTTAAGGTGCAGCGTTGACGAATCGGCTCGTAGGTGGTGGATTTGGTTGTGGTCATGCACGATGTGTTTGCTCTGGGGACTGGGTAATCAGTTGCTGGGAAGGATATTGGTTTGGATATGGCTATGCATGATCCCAATTCTTGTGTGGAATTCAACATTTATGATTAATGGCTGAGTATTCCCGCAAGAGTATAGCTCGAGTATTAGACGAGCAACATGTACTAGACGAGTGAACTTCCATCAGCGTCGTCGCTTTCTGCGAGAATTCAGTTGCGCGCCAACCTCTCAAGTTCACTTTTCGTCCGCGTTTATTCGAGGCTAGTCCTACATTGCGTGACGCTTTTTGGAACGTTGATAAAACATCGTTCCGCTGACCATTTCCTCCACAGTCTGTCTTTACAGAGACACTACGTCTTCGCGGAATCTTCAATTTGATGCGGATCGTGAAAGAGCCTATCACTATAGACAGCTTTACTCTGAACTAGGATGATTGCTACAAGCGTCTTCAAAACTAGCCCATCATAACGAAGTGGCTGAGTCTCGTGTAGGATGCCCAGCTACGGAGTTTTGGATCGAGGGAAATATCAAGTATCAAGATAAAATGAATCAATCTGGTAATGTTACCGGAGCTCGGAGGTTGCAACGGCTGCGCGCCCGAGTGACTTTTGTACTTTTGGTATGCTATCATGAGAGAGAGTATTCTTTTTCTTCTATCCGCTGAATACATAATCATCCTTCGATATACCCAGGTCGACACTTTACAAAGCAGGACATATCAACAACGAGTGATTTATTGATCTCTAAGTTAAATTCCCAGATTATTGGGCAGGATATGCTAGACGGATCCTCATCTGATTGTCCAGCTCAGAGCTGTACACGTTTTAGTGGAGTAGCAGCTCAACTGCCAGATCGCGGTCTCACGCGAATTGCTTGACTTTAAGAAAAAGGTCAGTAGCAGCGGAATTTATCTATCGACAAAGCCTTTAGCTTTAATGGCTCAATTATGATTTTGCCTCTGGATAGTAGAGGAATCCAGTGCGCAACACTGGGACCAATGAAAAGGGGCTAAGCGAGGACTCGGAAATTTTTACAACTGGACTCTTTAATACAAGAACTCTCCTACGAATAGACTTCCACGTTACCATTATTACTCTTGGAACTCCTCATCTTAGCTGTCGTCATTGAAAAGTCTACCTTAGGATGAGGTATTCCGTTCCAATATAGCATGAACCGATCACACAACATACATGGTAATCGCGTTTCCCATGATCCCAAACAGTTCTATAATACATACATTCATCCTCTGTGTGCATCAAGACCCAGGGATCACCCAGAACAGTATGAAGGCAGCACTTGTAAGTCTTTTCAAGGTGCTTCCTGATCAGATCAGGCAAGGCCTTTAAAAGGCCCAGATTGAGCTAGGTGCTGTAAGTGGGGAAACATTCGAACATATTTCCTCTTCGATTCCAATACTTTATTTCAAACGAGATCTCTCAAATAAGAAGAGATCTTAGCCGCATGTTGTTAAGCCTTGCCTGCCAGCCAATGGGTTTGAGATTCATCAGTCCCGACCTGGTAAGACGCCCTTACGAATTGTACTCGCTTACTGGAATTCATCTGTGGTGAATGCCCGTATGAACTAGGTATCTTTGTTCCTGGTGGTAGCCTTGGTCCATAAGATACTGCGCAGCCATTAATATCTACTGTAGCCATTCTAGAGATGTTCTTACTATGTCTTAACATACTTAGAATAGAACTCAACCCTAACCCTCAATACGACCCCATCTCAAATTGAGCGATGGTATTTTCTATTCTGTAGGTACCAGAGTATAGCTACTTAGCTAGGTAGCTCTTACACCACTGCATTCAATTCACTCTTCCACGCATGAACAATCATTCATCACCGAGAATATTGGACCTGAGCCTAAAGAGATATCGACTATCATTATGCCACGAACGGAATTCACAACAATGTTCGCTTAGGTGAAGGGGGGCATCCTTGGCACACTTCACAATATTGTGAAAGTCTTTGCTGGTCACAAGTATTCTGGCGCGTACACTGTTGAGGTGATTTAGGATGATTCAAAATACCCCTGTTGACTCCGCAGTCGAATAGAATATAATATAGAGGGCGCGCGCCAGGCGTAAGATTTCGGTATTCTGTTCAGCTTCTCAATAGTTCTTGAATTAAGACATCAAGTCAACTTCCTGGATGAAATATTCCTAGTCTTCTGATAAAACACATTCCTCAAGTTTCTTCTTTCCTTCCGACACTTTCTGCTCTCTTGTCAAAATGAATAAAGTGACGACGCCAAGCTATAGCTCTGATCTAATATTGGGACCGTCGTCTCTGGGTTTGAATGTAAGTTCCACTCAGAATATACAGCCATATCATGTTCTCGCCTTTCATGATCATCATCGTCCGTATCAGCATCGTCTCCTTTTGGAATTCATACAAATTAGCACATTTATGACCGGGCGGTCGAAAAACGCCTCTCGTTTGTGACTTCCCAGGCATTTTGAAAAAATTATATGGTAAGCCCTTGTTCCCTTACCTCGCTTGGAGTAGTAGTTTCGTTGAGTCTCTGTAGTTACATGGAACCATAGCAACATTAAAATACTCCTCAAAAATAGCACTACCCTAATCCTTCAGCCAACGAGGTACAAAACCAAGATTCTCGGTCAATGAAAACGGTGGCACTGACTTGGTATCTGAGGCTGGCCGTACTTTAGTACAGATTAATCAAGTATGGTGATATTGACCTTACATCATACGATATAGCAAGATTGACTTTCTGTCTAAATTCCGGCTGGTTCCAATCCCGATTGCTAGTTGAAGACCATACAATGGAAGTTCTTGTATGTGTCTATATAGACACGATTAGACTTTATTGAAGTCAACTTTCCAAGATATTTAAACTCTGACTAAAGTATAAATACTTGGCACCGTGCTGCAACTTCCCCAGCCAAGGCCATTCGTTACTGTCAACATGGTTAGTGGGGATGAATGGATGATCTCGATTAGCTGTTTCATCTCCGAAAGTTGACTCTAGGTTTCTGTGACTGGCAATTTTCTCAAAATTATCAGTATTTATAATACTTGAGCCTTCAAGAAAATTCTCTAGACTCCATGCCTTGGTCTGTTGCTACGACTTCACTTTTTATAGTTGCTAAAAAATTGAGTTTATTGAACAATGACTGGCTCTTTGCAGCGTCTCTTCTCCAGGATGGAATGAATCTAGAATACCACTAGTGGGTGCACGAACTGATAGAATACTTCCAGAAGTTACTTGGCAATATCTGTTGAAGTTTTACCTTGAATACCTTGGGATTTGATATAATAATTCAATACAAATGGAATAATGAAAACATAGATTCTGATATCAATCAATAGGAACATAAATTTGTTATAACTTTTGAGAACTGAGATGCGACCCGTCATTCAGCCCACTCACTAACGGAACTTGAGTTCTTACTTCAGATAAGAAAGCAGAACATTTGCAATAGGGCATATAGCAACCCAGTTGAAAGGATAACACTTGGGGCTAACGCTCACTTATCACGGATATTTCGGGTTCTATTAGAGTGGCTCGCCTTATCGGGATGGGTAACTCTACCCGACTACTAACATCGAAATACTTTCTCATGTATGGAACCACAAAACATCACTTGAATCGTGGTCTCCAAGATTACCCCGCATCAAGAGAGCAGTCAACCAAAGTTAATCGGTGTCGTATAAAGCTTATGAAGAGAAAGCAAATCTAAATTTACTGCTAATAAGACCAAGATGCGCGAACAGATGTAAGAGCTTAGAACATATAAGAATGAAGAGGCACTGATTCGGCATCAACATAGTCGTATTCCGTGCATGTGCTTTAGTTTAAATAAGCTGCTGTTCTCTGAGCAATTCCATATCAAAAGAGGATGTGGAAGGAATACTCTGAAATCTTCTGAGCGAAAGATTGCTGTAAAGTTAACCTGGCTCCCCTCTAACTGAAGTTCAACGTATTTAAGTGAATGAATCGAATGACCTCCTGTCCGGTCACTTCAGGGGCTCTGTGTCTCGTGAAAATCATCATCTCCAACTGTGGGCGCCGATGTGGTCCGTGCAATATACCTTGAATAGAAAGATCAGATTAATGCTTTTTAAGTCACATTGTTTATGAAGCAGGATCTTGATTCTGAATCTCGATTTTACATAATTGAAAGGAGAATGAAGATTTAGAAGTAAGATTTAGAAGTAGTACACATTACTACACTCAGATTTTTGAAATAGAAATAATGCTGATTGGATTTATATTAGAGAACAAGCATGAATGTCTGACCAAGTTTTAAGAATCCTAACGATATGGTTGGTCAATAAGCTTTATTGGCACTTGAGGGATACATTGAGATCAACGCTGTGTTCCATTTTTTTTTATACATTTTAGGGGTCTGTGCTGTGGGGTGCTTGGGGTGCTTGGAGGTTCGGTAGTCATGATGCTCATGTGGAGACTGATGCGCGGATCTTTTGGCCACTCGAGCCTCTTAAACGGATCTGTTCTGGGTGGCAAATTCAACTAATGCATAAGAACAACCTCTCCCGCAACCCTTTTGATAATCCCAGGCACTGACTCAAAAAGCATTGATATAGTTCTCGCAAATTAACGGTGTAGTCATTAATATGGCTTGGACGCTTGCAAGCCAATCGTCTTTGCCATGCTCACGGCAATGCGAGAGATCTCTGACATCCATTTGGTACCGTGACTTTCGGAGATGTCTATTCTATTATGACTCGAGTGATTAAACTTAAATGTTGATATTAAAGTAAACTTTAGGTAATACTAATGCCTTACTCAATTGACAACATGGGTTGCTAGACATGATTGAATTTCTAACATCGATGATGGGAAACTTTATCGATTTGAGAGCAAGCGTGCCAAGAGGAGGCAAAATCACAAAATGCGGGGGTTGTGTCGATTATATTGCTTATCATAGACTGATTGGCAGCGATCTTTCCTTCTTATGGCTTACTGCTGATAAAGATTGCGGTTTGTTACTCTCGATGCCAATCATAAGTCTTGGGTCAATTGTGAGGGGATTTGCCAAGCATCACATTCTGGGGAAATTATGCTTACTTGATGCAGCATGATGTAGGGCCAAGTGAATGTTGGTCGTTATCTATTCGTCTCGCTTCGTGATTGTACAATCTCGAGCACATGCTTGACCAACTGGAGTCGTTACCTGGAGGCGAAGGGCACAGTAGTCATCTTGATAGGTCCACACATTGATTGTTCTGTCGATCATCAAGCCCGGGCGTTTGCGTCGACTCGAGAACTTAGGCAGTATGACGTCTAGACCTTGTTGGGACAAGGTCTCGCATTAAAGAAAGATCTAATGACATGAACTCAGCCCCTTGAGGAGTCAGTGTGTATCTCACAAGCAATTATATAAGGAAGCTTGTACCCTCGATCAACAAATTTAGATTATCATTCATACCATCAAACAACACAAAATCATACACAACTTTGATACTCACACAAATTCATTACGCACACAATCGCGTATCATACAACAATCAATCAATCATACACAACTAGCAATCATGGATCCCAGACTTCAAACCGTCGGCGAGCAAAACGCTCTGTTCACAGATCCATTCGCAGAACAGGCCATTGGGTCACCACTCAGTATGTTATTACCTTACTCACTCTCTCGAGGCTATCATCAATTCAGAGACTAACCTATCATCTAGAGAAAGTCAACACAAGCACAAGCTCCTCCTCCCATCTAGACTCTCCTTTCGATGATTTTGCACAAGACTGGAAGACTACAACCCACGAACGAGACAGCTGGGCTACACGTGAGAGACGACGTTCTACTGCGTTCGGAAATATCAGCAACTCTGCTTTCATGGGTACTCATCACGAAGCCAAACATGGTCGCAGCGGTAGTTCATCACATCCACGAAAAGGATCTGTTCTAAGCATGTGGTCAGACTCGAACGATGAAGAGCCTGATGACCTTCTAGTGAGGGTATCAAGTAGAAAGTCCGAGGGGTCTGAGAGGGAAGGAAGAAGAGGAAGTGTGTTGAGTTTATTCTATCGCAAGAAGGATGAACAAGGAAAGGATATCATCAATTCCGAGGGGCGCTAAGACATATCAACTTTGACAGTGGATGATAAGCTTCTGTTTGGACTGTTGTATATGGCGAAATATTTGATACCTGGGTAAAGCCCGCTTTTTGACGATGATTTACGAGTTTACTTGGCTCACACATTGTATTATATAGAGAAGATGTACTGTACATTGGGATTTTCTGTGGAACTCGGGATGAAATACCGAAACATTTGGATTGTATTATGAATCAAACGTATTTTAGATTCTTCTTCAAACTGGCTCTGTAATACTGGAGGGAATTGTTAAGATGATTTTAATGCCATACATCTAATTCTCGAATTTTGAAAAACTTGAATGGCTCACTGCCTTGTTAACTGTCAAGTTTAGCCTAAACTTCATCTGTTCATCTCACTGTCTGGAGGGGAAAAGCATCATAGATTGTACTTCCTTGGCGCGGGTGAAACTTTCATGCCGTTATCTTTCCTCTACTACCACACCACAAATGCACATGAATTTGAACATGTGCCAGTAAATACTAGCTGTAGCACGTAAAGAAAACTAAGAGTACGTACCGCACAACGTACTAAGAACATGGGGAACCAGCCAGCCCCACGGTCCCTCCACAAACTCTATTTCCCACGGACTCGTTTTTGTGTCCACTTTTGTCCACCAGATAACATCAGCCCTTTTAAGTAACTATCAACTTAGTGTGATTCGGGTCTTGCTACTTCCGTTCGTCCAACTGAAATCGAGACGGAGCTTTCCATCGGTATTCAGTTTGTGAGATAGTAATGGTATCTCTACTTAGGTGTGTTTGAAAACTTAATTCCCGCAAGTAAGACATGGAGAAAAGATTATCAAGGAATGGCGCAATACAAAGAGAGTTTGACTAATGATGAATGTGGGCGCGGGGTATTCGCGATAGCTTTGCCAAGCCTGTAACTAACCATCATAGATAAGATAAGGTGACGACGCCGTTGCATTGACAGGTGCGGTACGAAAGCATGTTTTTGAAGGGAAATTCCGAAGCTGAAACATAAATAGGCTATTTGGCCACGTGTGTCAAGTACCATATCTTAAAGCAGATGCGGGGAACAGAATATTGAGTGCATATAATAGACTAAATACTGTGAAGTTATACGGCTTTTCCAGCTGCTTTGAGCATTGGTAATGTGATGGTGAGTTCGTTGTTGCACTAGCTGAAATTCTCCCCCTTTCATGATATATTCGCTTATGTTGCTTCCTTCAACCCCTCTACGTAGAAAAGTAAGGCGGGCACATTTGACCACGTCTTGATACTTCCAACATGCAGGATGATCTTGACTGTACAACATCAACACAATACCTCAGACAATATGATTGTACGACTTTGATACCGCATATTATGCAAGTGCAACTACACAGATTGTCTCAGAGCCCTATGCCCAGTAGTGCAGAAATAGAATAGAAAGCTCTCATAACCTCCTGGAGACCTCAAATCTGTATAGGATCAATACAATATATGCGATAACATTATTATTCAAGCACATGATTTGACCTAGCAAAGTAACTCTATGCCATACGCAAAGATTCCACAAAAGCCTTCTTAAGGAGAATGTTCTCGCAGGCTCAAAAACACATCGAAAAAAGCCAAAAGAAAGAAGAACTCAAAAAAGCAGTGAACCAGCCGTGAAAAATACAGAAGTTGTCGCGAAGCTAGCTCGGCATGAACGACATTAATTACACACCAAAATGGAATCACTCTCAAGCATTTGACTCTCAAATTGGAATTGGGACACTGAAAGAATCCAAATGCTCAATCCTTATTAGAATAAACAAAGCTTCCGGTGTGCGTATTTGATTGGCACACTGAAAGATACTGATAAAAGATTTCAAAGGTTTGCTTGGCACACAACTTCTTCCACCCATCACATGACTATCCCGCTAACTCATAAAAACGGCCGTGCACGCACAATCGGAAAGGAAAACCCATTTTCCCATCGCGAATATTTCCACCTTATACCAAAAAACTATTCAAAACCTCATCTCAACTCTCTCATTCAGAAATCAATTAAAAATCAATCAACAAAGCAAAAAGAGATGAATGAAATCATGACAAGTATTGGACTAGCGGCGAATCGAACGCCGGACCTCTCCCATGCTAAGGGAACATTATACCACTAAACCACAAGCCCTTATTTGTGCTCGGAGTTCCATTTTCTAGAATATAAACTAATTTCATCTCTCACTCTAGAAATAAAACCTGGTAATGTAACTAATAGTGATTTTAATCAAATAAATTCCAATTTCTGTGAAGGAGTATTATAAGAGGATTTAATTCTATCATTTAAAACATAAAGTTAAAAAGAGAAGAAAAAAGAAGAACGAAAACGAAAACGAAAACGAAAAGAAGATATATAAGATTTGAATGATCTAAGGAATAATTATAGAAGAATTCAATTCTTAACTTAGAATCTAAAGCTAAGAAGAAAGAAACTATAGATAGAAAAGAGAAAGGAGAAGAAGAGAGTCCTAGACTATATATATAAGAAGTATTACATGTCTACTTATACTTTAATTAGTCTTTACGAAAACTAACTTTATAATAGTTAAGAAGTTTTTGAATTATATTTAATAAAATGATTTACTTCTAATGATTTAATTATCCTCTAGATCGTTATAAATAAGCTTCGTTACTTGATAGGAATTTTATTAATTAATTAGATTATTAGGATTTTGAAAGTTCTTATAACATTTGAATTATATTCTATAATAATTATCGAAATATTTATTATTATTCTATAAATAAACGTTATATTCTTGATATTCTTATATATTCTATCGCTTTATCTCTTTTTGTTTAAAACTAATAGATGTTTCCTTTAAAATGATTCTTAATTCATTATAAAATCTCTCTTTATAATAATAACAATTATTTTTATTTAATATATAAATAAAATAAAACTGAAGAGATAGTGTAAAATTATATATTAAATCCTTATATTTTCGTTTTAATTTATTCTATTTAACTTTAAATTCAAATTTAATAATCAATTTATTAACAAAAGATTTTCGAAAATCATTATACTTAGAATATTTAATTATAAAATACTTTCATATGATTTTTTTGTAAATCAAATAGCAATTGATTAAAACAATAATTAAAAGCTATTATTTTAAAGCTTAATAACCTCTATATTAATATTATTAATACCCTGATATAAATATATATAATTAGTCCCCTACATTAATAACATTCATATTATAATTATAATCATTAAAAATCATTAATTATATTATTTGAAACCCTATTTATAAAAGTTCATGATTTTCGATTATTTTATTAACAAATTTTAATATTTTGAAGAAATTTTTTTAGGTTTAACTTATTATTCTTTAATATGAAAAATTATGAAAAATTATGAAAAATAAATCATATAGTTTTTAATAAATTTCATTCGATTTTCAATCTAATTATATAACTGTCGGAACACGTGACCAACAACATGACATTACATGTTACGCTTTATCTTACTTATATACTTCATACATAAGTGAGAGTAGTACATATATATAGATATAGTAATTCCCTTTTCATATAAAGAGGGTAGATAGAAATAAACAACCCTTTTACCTATACATATTATGTATATACACCTTACTAAGTCTGCCTAATAATAACTATTTATATAAACTAAAGATCTTATAATTTAAGAATTAGAAGTATATTCTATAAGTTTTGATGAATTTTAATGTGATTTTAATAAGTGACTAGTAGTAGTGCTCGGTGACTATAAGTTTATTTTTAATAATAATAATAAAGCTTAATCGGTCGGAATATTATATTATACATTTATCAATTAATAGTCAACTCTAAAACACTTATATTAAGAAATTAAAAATCTTAATATAATCTAATAACAAACCTACCTATAAACAAATATATTAATATATAAAATATAAATTAGCAAATTAATATCTTATTCTTTTATAAACATTACTTATTTCAGAAAGTTTAATACAATACCTTATATAAATCTCTTCGAATCTATTCCTTAATATAAAACACTGTTACGGGAGCTGCCTCTAGGGTCACGTGGAAGTGTCTAGAGATCTCTCGAGGTGGTTTAGACTAGACTTCAAGTAGGAATTCAATAAGGTTGTAACTGGTTGCAATTCTCGTAACTATAGTAATGAAACTAATGATTGTTCTTGAGCACGAAGCTCTACACTGTAATGAAACCCATTCCTTTATATAGACCTTCGTTCTCTGTGCTCAGTCGGATCACAAATGATCCCTCTGATCCGATCAACTGGATCACTAATGATCCCTCTGATCCGGTTACCTAAGCGTCGGGGTCACGTGACGTCTATTGTGGCAGACCATCGTAACAAACACATAAAAAGAAATACATTAACATTCTTATTATACTTTCAATAAATCTTAAGCTTAAATTAAATATAAATTAATATAAATATATCTAAATACAAATACAAATAAACCTCATTTATTATTATAAAATACTATTAAAATATTTATAAATTCGAAAATTCTTCCATTTTCGATATTCGCACATATAAATTTATTCATTTTACAATCGATTCTGTTATTTTAATAAAAAATAGAAATAAAATAAATTGAATACATCATAATATTAAACATTGATTTATAAAATGAATTTTAAATCGAAATCAATATAATTTAAAATTCGAAGCAAATGCCTACTTTCAAAATAAAAGAGATATTCAAGTATAATATCGCTATATTAATAAAATCAAATTCCATATTAATTAAAATTATATTAATAAGAATATTATATATTACATATTTATTGATTTCCTTATTATCAATATTATTTATAAAGTTGTTAATATTCTTACTCAATGTACAAATCACTTTCGTAGTTCATTTATAACGGTCTGGAGAATAACTTAATTATTTGATAATTTAATTTCTTTTCGAATACTCTTTCTTTATCTCTTTATTAAGATATACTCTAAAGAATATATTACTTGATTAAATCTCTATGTATATAATTAGAACTTCTAAATTTCTCTTCCTATTTTTTTCTTTCCCTTTAGCTTTAGATTCTAAGATGGAATTAAATTCTTTTACGATAGCTCTTTATAAATACTTTAGTATCTAATTATTAACTATTTCGAGAGTACTTATATATAAACTATATTTAAAGCTATTGTTTTGAATAATTAAATTATCATACTTAAATAAGAGCTAATATAATTTATAATTTGTATTTGAATTTTTTAATATAATTTGAAGAACTTTATACTTTAATCTATAAATGACTTATTTATACTTCTATTATATTTAATTCATAATGAAATTCATCTAGTAATACTATATGTCTAAGACTATAATATACAGTT